TCCTGCCACATGGTCTAAGAAAAATTTCGAGGAGTCCAAAGGTTGCCAACCATCAAATCCTGGGTGCCCAGCACTTTAGCTTATATGAAAAAAGTAAGTTTTTCCAGTCACCCAAAGGCATTAAAGCTAGTTACCTGTGGCACCCGGGCACTCCTAAAGCACAGCGATGAATTATCATGAAATGTTTTCATTTTATTACTCGTGGATCAGTTAGTCAAAAAATCTTAATGTTGTGTTTGATATTTTTTTCTTACAGGGCATAATGAGAATGTTCTTCATTGTGGTACTACAGCGACTGTAGCTCTGTTACAGGATGGTACTGATCTGACAGTGGCAAGTGTTGGCGACAGTGGTGCTCTGATTTGCAGACTGGCAGAAGCTGTTTCGCTAGCAAATGCACATCACCCGACAAGAGAGGAAGAACATCAAAGAATAAACTTATTCAATGGCTGGATCGATTGGGGATTAAATTCTCCCAAAGTTAATGGCAGACTGGCAATGACACGTTCGATCGGTGACTTTCATTTAAAGCCTTATGGAGTCATTGCCACTCCTGAAATTCAGCATCTCAAACTGGACCATAAGACAGATTCTTTTATTGTTCTACACACTGATGGTGTGTCGCACGTCATGTCGGACAAGGAAATAACAGATGTAGTCCGGACTTGTCCTGATGCTGAGCATGCTGCCAATGTATTGACTAGTTGTGCCATTCAGTATGGGTCTGAGGACAATGTCACAGCAGTCGTGGTTCCCCTGAGATTATGGCCTAAAAACAACAAACAGTGGGTAAAGAAGGAACACAGTTTGATAAAGAATGTGAGAATTAATTATGTGTAAAGATTATTTTTGTTGCTGGGATGTAATATATTTTTTGGTTTTTCTATTTTGGTTTATATTTTAGTTCTTAGTTCAAAATACTAATTCTCCCTACTGGCTCCACTGATTTCTTTTAATTAGTTTCAGGGATTTTGTATTACATCACCAATATTCCAAAGATCTCAGGTTTCAATAGTGTGGTGCACTGGCTTGTGACCATGGTCTGTGTACTGTATGGTTATTTACCAGCTCACTTGATGGCCCACTTAAAGTTTACACAAAGACATGGTGGTTTCTTTTGTCTTTAGCAACTAACCAAAGAAACATTTTGGTTATGTAATTCATGCACAGCTTATCATGATCAGTGCTAACCAAAGATTTTTTGCACGGTCATCAATCTTCTAACATATTTACCTTAAGTTATATTGTTCTGCACCTTTGAAGTTTGCTGGGCTTCATAACCATCCTCGTTTGGTCACTCTGAATATACTGTCACAAAATTTGCCTCAGAAGGCAAAATAACCCATATTTTACTCTTGATTATGCAGTAACTCTATGCAGTAAATATTGAGTTCAGTGGTGACTGACAACAGTGCAGGCACATTTAAATAAAAAAATTGTGAGATCTAAGCAATTTGCCGGGCAAAGAAAAGCGATGATGTGAGTGGTCAAAATTTAAAATAATAATTAGAAAAAAAAAATCCATACTCCTTTACTTTTGTGAGCAATTCAGTTGAGCAACTGAGGAAATCACAAAAACTACTCTTCATCAATGGACATACATTGAATCGCATTATTTCCTTATTGTATATTATATTTATTTCATTTTAGAGTAATTTGCTTTATTTTTATATGTAAATGTTGAGTGCTCTGAACACACCATTAATCAGGGTCTTAGCCAGAAAAAAATATGACTGAGGCAAAATCCTTGATTAAATTTTCTTCCTAGGTATTTAGCAGTCTTTTGCCTTCCCCCTTCAACAGCAAAAAAAGCCAACAACAGAAACGAAACAAATGACTAAGGCTAGTGCCTCGGTTCGCCCCATACTAGCTATGGATGTTAATATTGCACTACCTTGTGTAGACAGTCATGTCCACATAATTTCTGTAAATGAACTCGGCATCCACCTGTGCTTTAAAAGTTGCTGAATTATGTTACAAACATGTAAGTGGTGGCAGATCTTGGGGAGGGGCCTGGGAGGTCCCCTCCCCCCTCCCCCCTTATTTTGGGTTAAAAAAAATTGCAGAAGGAAGAAAAGCCGGCAGGGAATGCCAAAAAAACTACTCTTCATCAATGGACATACATTGAATCGCATTATTTCCTTATTGTATATTATATTTATTTC